GCATATGCCATTGGAAAAAGAAAATCTTTTTTATGCATGATTTAATTTTTTTGAAAAAAGGGTACATTTAGTTTTATTATACCAGAAACTGTTGGTATTTCTATCTTTAATAGAAAAGCTTATGTGGATGGATGTTACTCAATTAAAAATATTTAATATATATTTTATGATTTGAAAGGATTTGACATTTTATATTTCAAAAATGTTTTTTATTTTGAATATTTTTGTTGGACATTTTCCTATTTCAAATAGATTTTAAGATGATGTATAGAAAAGATAAAGAAGAAAAGCAATCAAGATTAAGTCTGGTATAGAGAAAGGGTTTTGTGAGGAGAAATGTAGAATTTTGTTTGAAGGGATTGATTTTACAGAGTTAAGGGATGCCTTTACTGTTTCACTTATATGAAGTCATCTGAAGATCTTGAGCATTTTTTCTGTATGTGCCATATTTGTTATGATGTTATAAAAGTCTTTCTAGATATTATTTTTTTTAGTATTTGTAAACAATGCAGTTTGTTTGGCATTGGTGTTTTGTTTTTATTTTTATTTTCCCTCTCTAGAATAAGCCAATAGCCTGACTATTAGATATTCTGTTAATAGTCAGTTGGTGTTTGTGCTGTATGGCTGTAGGAAAATTTTTGACTAACCACATTTCTGGTTACCTTTTTTTGGTAAACGTTTTCTCAGATTTATTTGACAGATGGTTATATTTTCTAACTTTACTAGTACTTGGGAAAGCCAGTAATACATAATAAGCTGTCGGTAATTTAGGTAAAGATTTTTCATTCTTCATAATTTTATATCATGTAAAAAGTTGCTAATTATGAGATGCACACACTTAAATTCTTTACCCTTATTGGTCTTTCATTCTGTCCTCATCTCATTGTTAATATGAGGTCTCTAAGGGACTCTAAGAATAAGTTCAGTACCCTTTCATTAAATGATTTTTCAGCTTCAGATTTGCAGAGTGGGCATGAATAAAGTCCTTAAATTTTTAATTGGGCTGTTTTCTGACTCTTTAAGGCTTTTTTAGATGGAAATGACAAATGTATTTTTTTTAGTCATATGATGAATATACAGAATACTTTACTAAAGAAGATATTAATAGTTGATTAGGACCTTGTTTAGTAACTCACTTTTATGACTATTTAGTTATTCTGCTTATCACTAAATGTTAATCTATTTGATTTGGATGGAAACTAGGACTTAAAAGAAGTAAATCTTAGATTTCGGAGGAAGGGAGAGGGACATTTAGCCAATATTTTTAGACCCTTCTACTTGTAGAGAAATCTTTCTTGTTAGTCAGTGGTTTTCTTTTATAAAGGAATAATCAGTAAGAACTCTGATCACAAATTTGCTCATAGTTAAACTTTACGTCTCAGAAGAACCAGTAACAAAATCCTCTATTATCTACTCTTTATTTCTAGCTCTTTTAAAAAATTTTTTTTGATATAGCAGGTTATACCACTTACCATTAATAAATTCAAAATTATTTCATAAGCATACTGGACTTTAATAAATTTATATATTGTAAAAGAGGGCTAAAATGACAGCTTAGTGAGAGGTAATATTTTACTCTGATATTTAGCTTTTGGGATTTTTCAGTAGAAGAATAATTCATGCTTTTGCTACTTTCCCTACTACCTAAATAACTTGGTATTTTACAAATATGAAGTATACCATATTTTATGGCATTTAAGGCTCGTCTCAGCAGTTCTGTCATTTCAGGGCTATCTTAATTGTTTTCTAACTGATTTCAACTTTATCATCTTTCCCATCTATACAGTCGATCCCTCTTACTAGTGCTAAATTATTTTTCCTATAAGACCATTTTATGGGTGTGTGTGTATGACCTTCTCACACAGAAACTCTTCCCATTGCTCGCTTGTTCCCAAGTTCAAGTTCCTTGACCTGCTGTACAGTTAGAGAAATGTGGGTTGTAATCCTGGGACCACTACTTAACTAGTATGTAATTAATTCATTTATTCATTCAACAAACATTTACTAAGACTTGCCTGGCATTATTCTAGGTATTGAGGATGCAGTGGTGAACAGGACAGATGAAGTCCCAAGCTTACGTTATGTAGTACTTACTATATTGATATCCCTATTTTTCCCATGAGCACAACCAAGGATTCAGCAACTGCCTTTTACTGTGCTTGTTTTTTGTCAACTATACTGCAAGATCTTTGAAAGCAGAAACTACATGTTAGATCTCAGTGTCTCCAGTTATGCAGTATCACCTATATAGGGTTTTCAGTAAATTATTGTGCTTATAATAGGCTAGTCTTAATCTTTTCCAGTTAAGGTTATATTACTGATATTTCAATGAACTATCACATAACACTGGAACACATTTTTTAAAATCGAAACTTAATTGGTTACACATATTTGTGGGGTACAGAGTTGTGTACAGTACATACCTGTGTACAATGTATGATGATCAAATCAGGATAATTAGCATATTCATCATTTCTTCGTGTGAAGAACATTCAGTCTCTTCTAATCATTTGATACATGCAGTAAATTGAAGTTAGTTATAGATGTGTACCTCAGCTGTACATCAATAGAAACTTATTTCCCCTAACTAGCTGTTTTGTGTCCATTAATTAATTTCTCACTATCCTCTTTCCACCTTTCCCACTTCTGGTAACCACAGTTCTGTTCTCTCCTTCTGAAGGTTCAGTGTATTATTATGATTATTCATTCTTTCTTTACTTCTTCTTTCCTTCCTTCCTTCTCCCTCCCTTCCCTTCCTTTCCTTCCTTCCCTTTTTTTCTTTCCTTCCCTTCCTTCTCTTTCTTCTCTTTCTTTTGTCCCACTTATGAGTGAGGACATTCAGTATTTCTCTTTCCGTGCCTGGCTTATTTTACTGAATGTAATTTTCTCCAAGCTCATCCATGCTGCTGCGAATGGAAGAATTTCATTCTTTTTTATGGCTGAGTATTCCATTGAGCTGCAATAAACATGGGAGTGCAACTATCCCTTCAATGTGATGATTTCCATTCCTTTGGGTATATGCCTAGTAGTGGGAGTGCTGGATTGTATGGTAGTTCTATCTGTAGTTGTTTGAGAAACCTCCATACTGTTTTCCATAGTGGCTGTACTAATTTATAGTCCCACCAACAGTGTAAGAAGGTTCCCCTTTCTCTGTATCCTTACCAGCATTTGTCTTTTTGAAAGCCGCCAGCCTAACTGGGGTGAGATGATATCTCACTGTAGTTTTGATTTGCATTTCCCTGATACTTAGTGATGTTGAGCATTTTTTCATGTGTCTGTTGGCCATTTGTATGTCTTCCTTTGAGAAATGTCTATGCAGTGACTTTGCCCATTTTTTAATCAGATTATTACTATTTTTTTTTAACTGTCATTTGCGTTCCTTGTATATTCTTTATAGAGCTAGGGCTGGGTCTGGAGCTCACAGACCCCTCAAGCCTGTTGTCCAGACTGGGTCACAAACCCTGCATATGCAGGTCTATGAGCTACGTAACTGGAAAAAAGGTCCTTGGAGCCTTGGTTGAAGAAATAGTCTTTATTCAGCACACACATGTCTGAGAGCTAGGCAGTCCACAGAGAAACTCAAAACTCAACTGCTCCTGGCAAAGTCCAGAGAAAAACTGAGCAGCTGCTAGCAAAGTAAACATGCTCTATTTTTAGACATGAGCTCTCTGCTAGCCAGCAGTTCAGGGCTGTTGCTCCACACAACTGAAGAACACACCAGAATAGCAACAAAACTAAAAAAGTACATTGGTGTGCATGCACACTAACTCCACCCACACACAGTTTGTTTACAAATAATATGCTGCAGCACACCCAACTGGACCTGAGGTGAGGGGGCCTGATTGAACTATTCTATTTTCCCAACATTCTGGATATTAATCCCTTGTTAGAGGCATAGTTTGCAAATATTCTCTCCCATTCTGTAGGTTGTCTTTTCACTCTATTGTTTTCTTTGCTCTGCAGAAGCTTTTTAGTTTGATATAATCCCATTTGCTTATTTTTTCCTTTTGTTGCTTGTGCTTTTGAGGTCTTATTTGTAAAGTCTTTGTCCAGTCCTACTTCCTGAAGTATTTCCAATGTTTTCTTTAGGGGATTTATACCTTCAGGTCTTATATTTAAGTGTTTAATCCATTTTGAGTTGATTTTGGTATATGGTGGGTGGTAAGGGTCTACTTTCATTTTCTGCACATGGGTGGATATCTAGTTTTCCCAGCACCATTTATTGAGAGGCTGTCCTTTCCCCAATTAATGTTCTTGGTGCCTTTGTCAAAGATCAGTTAGCTGTAAGTATGTTGTTTTAGTCCGTTTTGTGTTGCTATAACAGAAGTACCTGAGACCGGGTAATTTATAAGGAAAAGAGGTTTATTTGGCTTATGATTCTGGGACAGCTGCATCTGGCATGGGCCTCAGGCTGCTTCTGCTCATGGTGGAAAGAGGCAGGTACAAGCAGATCACATAGTAAGAGGAAGCAAGAGAGAGAAAGGAGGTGCCAGGGTCCTATAAACAACCAGCTCTTGTGGGAACTAATAGAGCGAGAACTTACTCATTACTCCCCCTCCTAGGGAGAGCACTAAGCCATTCATGATGTATCTTCCCCTATGACTCAGTCAGTTTCCAACACTGCCACATTGTTGATCAAATTTCCATGTGAGTTTTGGAGGGGACAACACATCCAAACTCCATCATATGAGGATTGATTTCTGAATTCTCTATTCTGTTCCATTAGTCCATGTGTCTGTTTTTACACCAGTATTATAAAACCATGCTGTTTTGGTTACTATAGCTTTGTAATATAATTTGAAGTCAGGTAGTATAATGCCTCCAGCTTTATCTTTTTTTTGCTCAGGATTGCTTTGGCTGTTGGAACACATTTCAGAATTAAAATGATGTGTTATCAATTAAAAAAAATTAAATAAAAAAAATTTTAAGATTACATTTATGATGGGGTTTGTCTAATAATTATTTTCTACCCTGTTTGTTTTCTACTTTTTTTTTTCCAGGGCTTATTGACTTTGAAGAATGTGACCCTGCTAGTGCAGTTGAAGGTAAGTTGATTAGTTATAATGTGTTAATGCATGTGACAACTAGCTAGTATCTTCTGTTCATTGAAGGGGCTGCTGTTCATAGGTGTCAGCATACCTGTGGAGTGATATAAAAATCTGAGTGTAGTTTGAAGGCCTGCAGATGCTAATTGTTACTTCATGAATAATCAGTAGATTTACTAAAGGAATATTTGTGTTGCTCATAACAAAATACCTGGAACTGGGTACTTTGGAAGAAAATGAAATTTATTGTTTACAGTTTTAGAGGCTGGGAAGTCCACTGACCAGGGAACACATCTGGTGAGGTGACTTGGTAGTGGCTTTACAGCCATGTAGGGATTTCACATGGCAAAATACAGCAGAGTAGATAGAGATTCTCACATTCTCTACTTTTAAAGCCCTCAGAACCATACCCCTGACCACCATTATTAATCCATTCACTGTGGCATGATCCTACAATCTAATCACCACTTCAGGGCCCCACCTTTCAATTACCATAATAGGATTTCCCACGCTGAAGAGTTATAGTGGGGAATTAAGTTTCAGTGAGGTTGGGGGCATCCAGTCCACAGCAGTTTGTTAGTGTATATATTTTAAAAGATTAAATATAACATGTATTTGTTTTCAAATATACATCAAGATTGTTTTCTCCACTGACATCCATCTTTAAACCTTCTAATGTCACGAATATGAAACTTATCACTACACATTAGTGTATAGTGCTTAATCTATAGTGGGTAACATTTCATTTACTAATGAGATGGTGCATTAACGTTAATATTACCATCATTCAAAATGGGCGATGGTTTCACTTAGAGAAAGCATCCACAACCAGCCTGACTCCTATTTAAATAGGTGTTTTTCATAGAATGAAACCCAAAAGATGCCTGCTGTTTTTTGTTCATGTTTTATATATCTCACTTTGTTATCTGCTAGAAATAATTTTAAGACAGGCTTCTATTTTTTCCAACCCCTGTGTAAGAATTTGAAGAAATGGTTTGCTGTAAAGTTTGTTATTGAATTAGTCAGTAGCCCTGGGGCCTAGGCTTCTGGTACTCACTAGCTATTTGGCTGAGAGCAATAGTTATTTAAATTCTGTGAACTTCATCTTTCTTTATTGTAAAGTGAAGATAAAAAATAATACCTACCCTGAGAGAATAAAAATGTAGTTGATTTTTAAAATATCATGGCCGGCCCGGTGGCGCACTGCTACAGTGCGCCGCTTGGGAGCGCGGTGGCGCTCCCGCCGAGGGCTCGGGCTCCAAAACCAGTC